ATTTAATTTAAGTTTAATAATAAAACAATTTATTTTTGGTTTAATATTATAATTTTTATAAAGATAATATTTAAGTATTCTGTTAGAATTTAATGATTATACTAATTATATTTTAGATTTTTTATATTTAAAATGAGATATTTATCATGTATTTGATTGTGTTTATCTGCAGTTAGTTACATGAATTCAGATATAGAATGAAATCGGATAGAGATAAAATCATTTAGGGATGAACGGGTTTAAGAATTTTTAAGAGTTTTAAGAGTTTTAAAGAGTTTTAGCTAAATGTTTTATAAGATAGTATAGATATATATATATATATATATATCATCAAATAACACATCTGCACTTTGCTCCATCATAATAATAATAAAAAAAGCCATCTTGTTTATATTAATTGTAAAATAAATACTCGTTGACAACATTTATCTCTCTACTATTAAAAATAAAATTGTTCATTTTTAATCAAAAACATATTATTAAAAGTGTATGATTTTTTTTCGTTATAAACATTTTATTTTTGTAATAGGTGATAATGAAATCAAATACACATAATAATAATGATAATAATGATAATAATAATAATAATAATGGATAGTATGATATTTGAGACTTGTAAAAAGGCCGGGTAATTAATGTCTAAAAGTAGCACCTACCAACCTATCATTTTGAATATATTTTGTATGGATCGTGTGGATTTAAAATTTTATAAAATATTGGAAACATGGAAAATATGCACCAGATTTTATATATACTAAAATTCAATTTCCATCTTTAATCTTACTTTTTTAGACTTTAAAACTTGGTATTTGATCTCTCAATTTTTTAATGCTTTTGGTCTATCTATCTAACTGTCTGTTAATTTTTTCTATTAAGTCAATTAAATAAGACATATTTTGATTATATTCTAAATTTCATATTAAAATTAAAGAAACATATTATTTATTTGGATATAAAAAGGGAGGATGAGGGGTGGTTCATCGTTTTTTTTTACAATTAAAAATATAGTATATTTCTTAATATAAGATTATAGTTTAATATCAATATTGGTTAAAAATTAAAAAGGTTAGGGGCTAAAATTAATGTCTGCTAAAAAGTTTATAGGAGACATGTGATCCTATTACATCCACGACTCATTGTATTATAAAATATTTAAATTAAATATTCCAAAACTATTTACCCACTATTAAATATTATTATTATTATTATTTTAAGTTTATAAATAATTATCGTATTACAGATTTTATTTTTATAATTAATTCATTAACATTTTTAACTACAGATACTAGAAATAGGTAACTTTATATATATGTGTATGTGTATATAAAGACAAAATCAATACAAGTGCTTCACTTTCTCAAATTATACTCATGTCGACACGTGGCACCAATAGTTGGCCGTCTCCTCCGTATCCACACCTTGAATCCCCCCTCCATATGAGCCGTCAACAATGGCAAGTACACTGCCTCCTCGGACCCTACCGCTCTAATCTCGAACCGCTTCACAATAGAAGCAACCACATAACTCATCTGAACATTCGCCATCCCCTTCCCAAGACAAACCCTCGGACCGGCATGAAAAACCGGATACTTGTACGCCGACACCTCCTTCAAAACTAACATCCTTCCCATCTCATCCGCTTCACCATCAAACCACCGGTTCGGTCTAAACTCCAACCGGTCCACCCCCCACAACTTCTCCATCCTTCCCATTCCATAAGGAAAATACGTCACCCTATCGCCGGCACTCACCGGCGTTCCATCGGGTAACATGTCGTCGTCGACGGCATGCTTTGAATCCCAAGAAACCGGTGGGTATAACCTCATGCTTTCACAAAGACATGCCTGCAAATATTTCATTTCTTTAAGGTTTTCACATTCGTCATCCTTAAATTGAAACGCTAGTTCGCTTACAAGCTTTTCTTCCACGTGGGTATGCCGGGAAAGCATGTAAAACAGCCATGTCATAGCCGCCGACGTTGTATCCCGTCCGGCCATGATGAAACTTATCACCATATCTCTGATCAGTTCTTCATTCACGCCACCCATTATCATTCTACTCAATAAATCTAATTCGTTTTCCTCGGAATTGATGATGATTTTCTTTCTTTCATCAACGATTTCAGTGATATATGCATGAATCTCCAGAACGGAATCTTTCAGAACTTTCTCCGACCCAATTCCCAGAAATTTCTTCAACTTCCACACGGCGGAGATGGGTGTCGCAGCCCGTTTTGCAACTATTGCGGCCGCCGTGTCGAATGCTTTCAAAATGGGTACTTGATGAGAGAAAGAATGTTGGTCTCCTAAACAACAAGGATCGAACCCTAATGAAAGTTTACAAACAATATCAAATCCAAGCCTTCTCAACACCTCCTGAAAGTCGACGGCCGTGTCGGAGGCGGCTAACGAATCCAACAACGGGAAAAGCTTGGTTTTCACGGCCTGGACAATGGTGGTTTTGACATGTTGCTTCAATGATCTGGAGGTGAACTGATGGCTTGCTAACTTGCGCTGAGTAAGCCAGAGGTCTCCATCGACGTTAAAAATGCCGGTTCCAAGAAAATCTTGGAGGACGTCGGTGAACGGCTTTCCTTTTGGAAAGTTGATGAAGTTGGTTTTAAGGATGTATTCAACGTTTTGGGGGTTGGCGGTGAGGATGGTTTTGGGAGGAGTAAGGCGGCGGATGAGGACGGTTTGTGAGGGCGATTGGGAGAGGAGATGGGTGTACCAAGAGAGGAGACGGTGGCGATTGTTGAAGAATGAAATGAAAGCATAAGTTGGGGGTGAATGATTGGATTGATGGTTATAAAAGAGGCAATAGGAGGTGATTGCCATAAGAAGAAAGGAGAGTATGAAGAGAAGAAAGAGATGTGTTTCCATTTTGGTATGGAACAAGAATGGGAGTGTATTATTACTCTTTTAATTAAAGCACCCACAATCACAAATGCATGGTGGTTCATCTCTCTCTCTCTCTCTATATATATATGTGTGTGTGGGTTGGTCCAAAATGGCATCAAGATTCCAAATCATCATGAGATGAATAAATAAATTAACGAAAAATTTATGGAGGTGAAATTGGGAGAATAAGAGAAAACCAAGAACCATGAATGATGGATCAAAAACAAAATATAGAGATGGAATTTGTAAGTTTTTTTTTTTTTTTAATATAATGTATCAAATTAATTATAATTAGCATGTAAAATCTTATATAATATATCAATCAACTTTTTCCGGTTGGTATGTGGTGGTATTGTTTTCGTACCAACTTCAAGTTACATTTATGAGCACTTCCTATTATGTTTATATATATAATTTGAGTTTTTAGGTAACACATGTGATATTTAAGGGTTTTTAGTGGTAAGTAATAAATTTGTAGACACTCAAATGTTCAAATAAAATAGTTAAAATTACAAAAGTTGATATTCAAAAAGTAAAAAATGTGGAAAGCTAATAAATAATTAAATTAGTTGGTGTTATTATCATGGTACACAACTTCAAATATCGTTTGTATACTTTGTATGGTACTACCAACTAACTTTAATAGTATCACTTAGGTTGATAACAATTTAATCGATGTTAGTTTACTTTGGTATCAAATTATCATCCCTAATTATAATTATGATTATAATTATAATTATATCAAAATGAATATTTGGTTTGGGTTTTCGTAATATTTAGCCTGACTTTCAGACTCAGTGTTAGAAAATTATTTTATTGTAAACAAAAAAATATCTTTTATATTAATAATATGTTTTAGTTTTTGAATTTATATTTATATTTATAAATATTATGTTTTTATAAGATATCGACATCTTAGTTTTATTATAAATTAAGTTGAGAAAACCGACGAAATCATGTGCACGTGAAATCAAGTAATCAACAGATGATGGCCCTTTCCTTTGACTTTTAAGCACGTGTTATTATAATGTAAGGATTACTTCTAGGCTTTAGCGACAGTTTCCGTTAAAAAAAAAAAAATCAAGTGAGAATCGAAAAAAAAAAAAGAGATGTTCATTTTATATATATATATATATACTAGGATGAGATGTATCAAGATGAAATACGCCAGATTAAAAACACCAATTTATAAATGAGTAAAAGATTAAAAGTGATCAAGAGTTCAGATTCTTTCTTATGTTTTTCATGTTAACTCTACTTATCATACGATCTTTCGTCATTCTCAAAATATGTAGATTGTTTGGTAAAAAAATCTTCATAAGAACATCTATAAAATATTATTAGAAAAATTATTATGGATTCCATGGAAGCAGATCTATACTTAAGTATTAAAATATACGGAAAAATATTATACATCTTTTTATAATTATAATTCTTGAACTTAATTCTTGAGATATACTTTAAATAATACATTTAAATACGTAAAAATTTACAAAAATCTGGAAAAAAGAACTTGTGAAAGATCTTGTATTTATAATATATAATCTATACTACTTTATAAAGCAGAAAGCCCCAAAATCTTAAAGTCTTAAGTTTTGTAATACCCAAAATACCCTTCCATGCCTCCACTCTTCCAAAATTCCTTTACACCCTCCCCTCCTCAAAATCCTCTTCCCCATGAGCACTCTTCCTCTTCCCCAAGAGCACTCTTCCTCTTCCCCATGCGCATGCTCTCCCTAAACCAGATTTCAAGAAAGCCCCAATGGAAATGGCAAAAATGTGTCTTCTGTTTTTGGTATTCCCCAGAAAATGAATTGAAGAAATCCAATTAAAAAAAACTACTTTATTTTCAAGATTTCTTGAAAACATAATCTGACCAAAACAAAGCTTTTCCCACAAAAAGCATATGAATATATGATATATATAATTACCAAGAAGTTTGTTTTGCCGATGTATTGATCACCCAACAAGCTGATCTTCAAAGCCACCAAATCGGAAACCTCTTTATCATGATCAGAGCCGCCGCAGGATGACGTCATTTCGCCGGAAGCCAATCCATCGCCGCTAGAGGCTGTCATTTCTACCGATGGAAACTGGTGGTACACGGTGGCAACATCCATCGCCGTCGTTGTCCTTTCCGGCCGACGAGGACGACGATGAGAAGTCGGAATCAAAGGGCCGGAACCGGAATGCAATAAATGACGGTAGCAGATAGATTTTCCGATCCAACAAGCAAGAATTTGGTGCCATAGAGATCGAGCACATCGCCGGAGAAGAGATACACGCCAGAKGATGGTTTTCTTGAGGTCTAATCCCCACATTTTTCTGGTAATCTGATTCATATTTGATGCTAATTTTCTGAAATCTTTTGAAATTTATTTCTAAAAGTAAACCTTTTTCAGGAAAGAGATGGAGATGGAGATGGAGATGGAGACAGAGAGAGGGACCTTTTTCAGACRGTGTGTTTTTATCTCTGGACATGGCTTTTTAGTGAAAAGCTTGGCCGCTCAAGTGCTCTTGTTTCAATGGTAGTTTGCGGTGGTGTTTTATTTCATAAAAGTCTTAAATACAACTTTAAATCCATAAGGTACTGTTTTTTTTACCCGTCTTGTTCCATGTAATCTGCATACCAAATGCACCCTTAATGAACTTTTTACATCCCGCCGCATTGCGCGGGTAGACAACTAGTAACTTAAAAAAGATCGCATAACATGTCCCAATCGACCTTCTGTTGAAGGAGTTTAGAGATTACATACAATGTTTGCCATTCTATAAACTCTAACACTACGAAACAATTTGTGCCCGTTAATCCACCTCTAAACATTCTGGAACATTCAGCACATATCTAGCCTCTCTTGAAGGAGGCATGTTGGAGCCTCACATCATGTAAACTTAAAGGTCGTTTATCAAATGCTTACTAGATAAACGTTTACAATGTTATCTAGCTTACTGGGTGAACATAATAAGGATTGAGAATCTTAACCAGTAAGAGACAAGGATCACGAGTCTTACCCGGTAAGTGAGGCTGGTTACTCTTACAGGTAATAACTTACCGGGTGATAGACACTACCAACAACCCATCAAACTATTTCTCCTCGATATGTCGTAACATTCTCTCCTCAAATGACCTATTGAAAAGTAATCTAATGGGTTCCAGATATTTTCACACTACAGAACAATTTAAATATTTCTAGTGACATTATATATTAAAATATCGTCACATTTTTTATAGATCTAGAAATATGGCAGGGAAAGCTTGATCTTTGAATTACATGTATATATAGCTTTAGCAGAGTATTTAAAATAACACGTAGGCTAATGTGTGTTTTTCAGACATCATGATATTTGAATCTATACCATTTGTATGTATAACCTATTAACCTTAACCTTAAGATGTCTTCCAAAGAATAAGGTGTGCTTGCTGAATTTATAGCAGATGAAAGCTTATCCAATCAGCACCAAAGTGGTACACTTCACAGCTTTATCCAACTGTCCTCATAATAAAAAGATCACAACGAAATACTTCAGAATTCTTATGTTGGAGTTGATTTTGAGTATTTAAGGATAAAGCTTTACCTCATAAGTATTTGATCTTCCCCAATTTGCTAAACCTTTTGCAAAGAGTTTGTACTCGTGGCACGTTTCATGAGCGATTTATAATCTTCACTTCTTGACCATTCGTCAATCTCACGGGCTCTTAGTACAGGAAGAGGGTGTGAAAGTTGTCTTGTTTGTGCGTTTCTGGATACATAAAGAGATCAGGTATGAATGCATGACTGTAAGTAACAACCCGTCTAACATGGATAGAAAATTAGATTCGTGAGCTCCTTATTTAAGCTAAAAGTTCACCAATAACTTCCACTATGGTTTTAACTTTTAAATTTGACTCAGAGGTTATTGGGCTAGCCTACTTTGTGCTAGAGATGCACAAAAAGCCCAGGCCCGGCTTAAACCCCGACCCAGAAAAGCTTGGGCCTAGTAAGCCCAAAGTCTGGTCTAGGCCATGCCTCAAAGCCCAATCAGACCGATAATTTGGGAGGCAGACCCGGCCCAATCTGAAAAACCCCGATTGGGCCCTTTTTCAACCCCAAAGCCCAGGCTGGGCCAGAAAAAGCCCAGGCCTTTTTTTTGCTCCCTCAAAACGGGCTTGGAAGGCCTGGGCCTTGTGCACCTCTGTTTGTGCTATGGGGCGTTTATACAATATAACTTCATACTCTAGTTACAAAGCTTTGATTTACCTTATATACCATCCTACTGGACTTGCGGATGCTTTGTCATAAGATCGGGCTTGCTCTAGGAAAGCATCCACGTTAAGTTGATCAGCCAACGATGGGCATCCTCCAGCCAGTTTCATTAGAACAGAAATGACCACCTCTTGTGGGACCATCAAACAAAAATTATACACAAGAAAAACACAAAGCACAACTTCAGAAGAAAAAAACTTGCATAATGTATACCTTGGGATCTTGAACAACAAGAAGAGCGGCACGATCACAGGTAAGCTCTGCAGCCCGGAGCCAACGAAATAGTTGTTCTTCTAATCTCTGGGCTATCATCCCACCAACCCCTGAACATAATATGACTTGACTGTAAACCAAAAGTTGCTAAAATCTTAGGGTATGTGTGTTGTCCATCAAAAAAAGATAACAATAGATGATGCACTCATGCAATGACTCCTCAAATTTCACAGCAAGACACGTGAGGTAAAAGAACTTGTTTATCCACGTTTGGGGTGACAACAGACTGGTACAGGACAAAACCCGAGTGGGACAAAAATGCACTTTTTCCTATATCGTCAAAATAGGTGGAACAAAAATCAGGTAAATTCTTAAACTACGCATATCCACCATCCAAAATTACCCGCCTACCTCACTCTGGCTCGTCAAGTCATGTCCAGTCTTGTCCGCATACCAAATGCACAGCTGACTTGCCAACAATCAGGATGCAATTATGATGCAATAGAACCCCAAACAATATGAATACATAACCTAGCGGTTCTCTTTGTCCTGTCTCAACATAGCTTAATCAAGGCGGCTGAATTGCCATATTTGACAAAAATTGTGAAGCAATCCAAAAGGTCAATAAAAAAATTCAATATGTGGTGGGAAAATGCATCACATTGAGTAAGACTCGACTGAAAACCAAACAATCAAAATCTAACAGTCCTCTTAATGTTATCTAATATAGTGCTTTGTAGCTATCATGTTCAACTAAAAGGTTATCGAAGAATAATAGGTACCTACCAGGTATTGTGTTGGCTCCGAGGGTAAGAAAATTTGCGACTGTCAGCCATACACCGTGATCGCATTTAAGGTGTCCTAGCTCATGAGCCAAAACAGCCTGTCCGTATATGTTAACATACTGTGTTATTAGCACTCAATCTAACTTTAAAACCATTAATGAGATATTGCTACCTTAGAGGCCGTTTACCGAACTCTTATCCAGGTAAGTGCGTACCGGCAAAATTCAACACTATTACTTACTTACAAGTAAGATTTTAGTCCACCAAAACGGTATCGTATGCAACAATTTACCCGGCAAGCACCAACCATGGTAAGATCCCTCGCCCTCACTTACCGGGTAAGACTCTCAGTCCTTGCCTTCACTCTTACTGGGTAAGATTCTTGATCCTTGTCATATTCATCCGATAAAGTAATGTGACTTGGTAAGCGCTTACCAGAGTAAGCGTTAGGTAAACTGCCCCTTAGTCCTCTATAAAACACTCTTTCCTCATTTTGACCGTGCCTAAATCTATGGTGAATTTAGAGCATCTCCAACAGATTCTCCAAGCTTGGTCCAAAATGGAGAATCCTTTAAATCTTCAAAAATTTTGAATTCCAACTCCAACAGCTTCTCCATTTTTTAGATTGCACCGTTAATTATAAAATTAAAATATTCCATACGTTTAATAAAATATTATTTCTCGCTTCTAAACATTTAATTTCAAGGTTTCTTATTAGTGGACTATACTTTTAAAAAAATTATTTCTCTCTCATGGTGATCATTTTTTGGGAGAGTTCCCCAAATTTGGAGAATTTCACACTCTCTCTCTCTCCTATATTCTTCATTTTCAAGAAAGTCTTGGAGAATATGTTGGAGCAAAAATTTGCCAAACTCCCCATTTTCTCCATTTTGGAGAATCTGTTAGAGATGCTCTTATTACACCGGTGAATATCAAGTAAACATTTGTGAAGAAAAAAAGAATGATGGAAGTTACCTGCAACTCCTTTCTTGAAAGAAGCTCTATAAGGCTTGTGTGAACAACAACAAACGGCTTTTTACCATTGATGGCTAGAGTATATGCATTAGGTGATGGACTTTGCCGCACATACAGATCAGGAGCTTCAATTTTCAGTGCTTCAGCTGATTGAACCATTAACTGATGAAGTTCTGAAAGCTGAAAGAAAAACCATGCTCAAGTTTACCTCCTACTCTAATAAGATAAAGTAAAACGTTATATTTGTCAACACACTTAACCTATCTAGCAATACCATTGAAGAATAAGGACATGCTACAAGTAAGACATTAGATGTAAAAGGCTACAGATAGAAAAAGAATGTTGCATATACATACTGAGGTCTCCAACTAGATACCTACTCAGAAGCACGATATGTTATTTGGAGAAAGTAATGCTCAGAATCATCAAGTGGAAACCATTAGTTGGTCCTTAACTAGCATACCACTTCAACAAAATAAAAAGACCGAATAACAGAGAGAACAACTGTATTCTAGTTCATAGACAAAGTAAAAATCCAGGGAAGGTGCTTTAAAGAGGCATACAGAGATGAATTTCAGAACTCCAATAAGTTTGTAGAAAGAACAACCAAGTATATAAAAAATACGTCTTTTAAAAGATATCTTATGATGGGGTAAATTTCACCTGATTTTCAGATACAAGAACGGAGGTCCCTATATTTTCAAGTACCAGGACCTGTTCTGCTATGCTCCCTGCAATTCAATGTGATACTGAGAATGCTACAAAGAAACATGACAGTTATTGATACATATATGAAAATCCAACCACCGCTGCCTATAGCACAAAGACATCACCTTATAACTTCAAAATCTTTAGACCATAACACAAGAAGTTGAGCTTAAATGGTTTTAGATAAAAAGAGCAAGTTTAAACTTAATGGTGTAATCATGAAGAACTAGAAGATCCTTAAAATACGCAAAAATGCGAGCCTATAATACCATATTCACCTCAATCTTTACAAGCAAGCCATATATCTCATCTGTTTCAAAGCTGTTTCTCACTAACGCAAGGTGACATTATGAGTTTATATGTCCTACTACACCTCAGATATGACTAAAAGATGGTAACCCAAGTGTGAGAAATTCGTCATCAACAAGCCATCTTACAACTTATCAACCATGATAGTTTCATTCTCTGCAAGTATGGAAGATGCAGTGTCTTGGAAATCTTTTAACCTACTTAGAATAACATGTGAGTATTCAGAAAACAATATTCGAAATATAGAGCGATATGAAGATTCCTAAAAAAGGCCTCAACACAGAAGAAATAATAAATACCAAATCCGGCCATTATCAATCATGTGACATTGAACAAACAGATAGAGAAAAGCCCAGACGAAATGAAAAAAGCCATATACCACTATATTTTACCTAATAAAGCTTTCCCAATTTCGTTCAGACCCGGAATTGCCCTCAAAAGCAGCGTATTCTGAAGCATGAATGGAAACGTTTTAATGAAGAGAGCTTTGTAGAATGATATTCGGTTCCCTTGTACAATTAGAGTCCAATAATTTTTTAAGATGGAATATACAACATACATGTGCTGTATGAATACTGTCACATATTCTAATACTCGGAACTCTGACAATTGGGGGAAATCACAAGCTTGACAAAAAATCGTCGAGAAGAGACAGTAAAATTCTAGAGCAAGAATACGCAATCGTGATAAAATCTATGAACAAAAAAAGGCCAATATTACAGCATGATTTTACCGAATTATGGATTGAATATCGCAAATACCTGCTTGTCGAGCGGATGTCTAAAATCATCGGCATCGAGATAACGAAAGGACAAGGAGGAGGAAGAAGGAGAAGCTGCTTTACAAACAGTAATCTGAATTCCTCCATCTCGATTCTTCTTCAGTGATCCAAACTTAGCATAAGACGACGGAAGAAAAGGCTTGTTCCCGGCGACATGAAACCCGAAACAAAGGGGTGAAGATTTAGCAGTCAAATTGGATGAGGGAACTGCCATCAAAGAGATGAAGAATCTGAAGTTGCTGATTAGGTTAATGACGATGGTTGATTGATGACTGTCTGGCTCCGATGAGTGGTGGTGTGTCTCCTCCACAGCCGTGAGACGGTGAGTGTTTTGCCGCCACTTGTTTTTCTCAATAAATATTTTCTGGAGTAAACTACAAATTTAGTCCCTGCGGCTTGTCTAAAATAACATTTTTAGTCCCTACAGATTTGAAATTGTAAGATGGTCTTCATGATTTGTAAAAATATTTTGATATGGTATCTAGGCTCTAAAGAGTGCTAAAAAATTCCATTGAATAAGGGCATTTTCATCTTTTGATTGATTTTTTTGTTTATTAACCAATCAAACTTGATTTTATGATTTATTTTTTATGGGTTTTGATTGGGTAAATGATAAATAAATCGATAAAAAGACAAAAATATCATTGTTAAAAAAATACTTTTTAACAACCGTTAGGAGCGGTCAAAATATCATTATTCAAAAAAGATGGTCACATAGCATTCAGACGGAATACTGGTCACATAGTGTTTAGACCGAATACTCTATGAAATTACGTTAATACTTTCGCACACCATACGATCTGTTATATAAATATGTAAATGTTTCTTTCTATTATGGATGGCAATAGTATGGCCGACCATCATGGATTAACGAAAATGTGCAAAAACTTTATTTGTCTCTGCCATTCTACAATGGTCCATATCGTTTGGTTTCTAGGGTTTTTGATTTGGTTCCTATGATTTGTCCAAAATAACTCTTTCATACCTACACTTTTGAAACTTTGAGATAACTATCGTGGTTTGCAAAAAAGAACTTCAAATGTTTAAAATAAAAAAACAACCCCCCCCCCCCAACTCTACAATTTTCCATCAATTTTTTCGACCACCCCTTTTTTTTCATTTCCATTACCTCCATCACAACCACCATGGAACCAAAAGAACATGATAAAAACAAGAAAATAGACAAAAGCACAAGAAAAAGTGTCCGAAAATGGTGGTTGTCATCTTCTCGAGTTGGGTCTTCAATGTTAGTGTGGTCGTCGTATTTATCTACTTGAGTCGAGAAAGAAGAACAGTAGTGATGATTGTAAATTAAAAAAGACGATGGTGGTTGTGGAGGAGAATGGCAGTCCCTGTGTTTGGGTGGGAGTTGGTTTCATCGACGGGAATGCAAAATATGGGCATCATCTGTTGACCCAGCCCCTTGTTTGAAAAAAAAAAAAATTCAACTATCTTGAGAATATTCCTCTTGACAAATAAATTATACATAATAAAATATGTATTACAAAGACTAAGACAAAGAAGGAAGAGTTTGCGAGACTCTGCTTGAAAACTAAAACAATAAGTTGCTTAAATTGAACTCTTTTAATTCTAATAAATCAGGATGAATTGACCATAATGCAACATATATGCAATAATTTTTTGAGTAGAGCATAATATAATAATCTTTTTTTTATTTTGTAATAAAAGATGAGACAAAGAGGTAGATTGACCAATTTGCCTCTAATTAACAGATTGGGAGTTAACATAGTTAGCGCAACAAATCCGACTCGTAAGAAAAGCAAACCACCAAAACACTGAGTATACTTATTTTAAAATAGACACGGTGTCCAAATTTGGTGTCAGACATAGAGACCAACAGTGTAATCGAGGTTATAAACTAGCGGCAAGGCTAACCCTCAAGCCATAAGAGCCATGATGTTTTTCAATGCGTGACTTAAGGCAACAAATCTTTATATCACATACAATATTAAAAATGTGGGAGTTACAATTTTCTTGAAATTTTTAAGAGGTACAGTACACATTATCCCATATATACAAACTTTAAAGGTGCACGCAACCTCACACGATCTCCCACTTTTTAAAAATCAAATAATTTTTAACTTATAACTTATATGTTATGCTTTTATAATTAGTTATTTAATCTACATTATGTCCCTTGTTTTTTTTCCCCATTTTACATCTACATCATATTAGCATAAATAATCGTATATAAACTAAAATATGTTAAAATACAATTTTTTTTAATAAATTGTACCATTATGATCGTTTTGTCAATATATTCAAAATGAGTCCAGTATTTAATATTTTTGGATTTAATCATACTATTAAATAACATGAATACGTACAAATTAATTTGTTCTACACTATTTAGGTTTTTATTTTTTATTTTACACATTTAACATATTAAAAATACACAATCATAGATTAACTAAAATACATTAAAAACGCGTCTCTTTTTTTGTTACAAATTATACTATTGTAATCACTTCGTCAATGTTTTCAGAATAAATTTATCATTGAATATTTTTTAATTTAGTATCATAAATACGTATGAATCTATACTATATTATGCGTATATCGTAAACAGTTATATATATCTATATATATGATAAAATACCTTTTTTCGGACATAACTTGACAAATCTAAAGGATGTACGAATTATGTCTTCATAGGTACAAGTCATCATAAACATCGTTAATTTTGATTTTCAAGTTTTTAGACTAACAAAGGTTGGTATTGGTCTAAGGGTATGATTGAGACATATGGTTCAGGGGTTACCAAACCATCCCAATATATCTCAATTCGGCTTCACAATCTCACCAGCCGATGGAGGTGGGCGATGGTGACGAAAGGTGTAGGTCGGTGATGGTGGCGAGTAGAGTCCGGAGAAGGAGGGTGGTTTCTCATCAAGAGGAGGATGGTTTCTATGTGACGTTAAAATACGGAGATGAAGACGTGGAGAGATGAAGTGATATTACATATATATATATATATATATATTATAATAAATAAAAATAAAATGATTAGATTGTCCTTCTAATTAACTTACTTAATAGATTATTTTAACGATGTTAGGGTAGAAGAACCAAAGACGTGTGAAATTGTAAACCATAAGGATATTTTTCATAATATTTTTCATAATTAATATTTTGATTTAAAGATGCATAGTGTGATTTTGTCTAAACTACAAAGACCAATCATATAATTTACTCTTATATTAATAAAACATTTAATATATTTAATAAAACGTTATTTTTCTTTTCTCAGAATTTTACTCCAATAGCTAATTGATTATAATACAATTAAATATTATTTTCTATTTCTTTTATAAAGTTTTAAGATTTTTATAATCTCTATATGCTAAAAATACATTTCCCTCCATTTTAACATATATATGATTAGGGATGCTAAAAAACCTGCTCAATCCAATCCAAGCAAACGCAAAATAATTCAACTCGAATAAACTTGATGTATAATTGAGTTGTAAAATTTTCAAACCGTAGATATTGAGTTACTATTATTTGAACCCAACACAACCCGAAGATATAATTTTATTTCTTGGATTTAATATGATTGTTGAATTTCTATTAATATATATACTAGACAATTACATTATGACGTACGCTCTTTATATACATATTTTTTTAATTTATTCGTATTTCTATATAACTCATTCGTATATACGTTCAGTAACTGTGAACATATGTATGTAAATTAAGAAAATTAACTGAATGTGATATACATAAGAAATATGGATAAGTTGTATCAAATGAATGATGATAAAAAAGAAATTATGAGTTAAAAAATAACATATTTAAAATTATAAGAATATTTTAATGTATCAAAGTATCAATCCATATGATTTGGATTGTATTGTATTAAAATTTTTCAAACCATAAACATAATTAAATTATTTAAATGTCTTTGACACGATCACTCGTATATGTGATAGGTCATGCTATGATAATCTCATGAGAATACACGTGTCACTTTAGATATATACTTAGCTTGGAGACGAGGATAAGTCAGAATCGCACTCCAGCGCGTGCCAACTACCTCAACTCAACTCAAGTATAAGTGGTTCATCCACTGGGAAACCGCTTTTGCTAAGCCCATCGACGTACTTTTTTTAGCCCAGCGGCGACGACGTGTTAACTAGCCCTAAACCCACCGGAAAACGGAGAATTCAGCCGGGCGATATGGATATGCAAAGTGATTTCGATCGGCTTCTCTTCTTCGAGCATGCTCGCCGGAGTGCCGAAGTCACTTTTGCCAAAAACCCTCTTGATACGGAGGTTAGGGTTTCAGACACTCCGATTCCGGTTTATGAACTCTATAATACACACATGATTTTTCAATTTGGTGTTTATTGTTAATTTATCGTTTCATTGATTTGCACAGAACCTGACTAGATGGGGAGGGGCGTTGCTTGAATTGTCGACTTTCCAGAGTGTTCAGGAATCAAAAACCATGATTAAAGGTGACCTAATTTTCAAATTTGATGTTGATCTGTTGCTATCAAACTAAAACACCTCAAGAGTGTTGTAGGGCGTTTGATAATTTGCTAAGGTTTTTATGATTTGATCATGTAGATGCTATATCAAAACTGGATGAAGCATTGTCGATTGACCCAAAGAGACATGATACCTTGTGGTGTATGGGCAATGCACAAACTTCTTATGCTTTTCTGACTCCTGATAAAGGCGAAGCTAAGGGTTATTTTGATTCAGCTTATACTTATTTTCAGCAGGCTGTTGATGAGGTATTCCTGTTTGGAAATTGGTATCTTGACTGGCCAGTTATTGCATATACCCGTGTTATTGCTTTAGTCTTTGCTTATAATATGTTAATCGTCATTTCCTGTGATGATTTTAAACCGTTAGCCGTTAGGGCACAGGTACCACGAATATAAGTATGCTTTCTTTCACAATGTCGGATGTGTAATAGAATGAATGTCAATTACAGGATCCAGGGAATGAACTTTACCGCAAATCATTGGAAGTGGCTATCAAGGTTCAATCCTGTTATTATGTCCATTCTATATTGTAGGTTAAATTTCACATATCTACTTCAGTGATCAGTCTGCAAGCATGAAAATCATCAGTATGTTACATCATACATGAAGGAATATTTGTTGCAAACTTGTGTATATATCCAATTATTTTTATGACAGTTATTTCCTGTTAAATTTTTTATGTTAAAAAGATCCCTCTTAGGTAAAGAGTTCAATGAGAAATAGCTGTTCGACTTTTATAATTTAATAAATTTGGCTGCTTCCAACACATTTTTTATCCTGAATGGTCGCATGGATGTAATCTCCTCTTCCGTCAAGCCGTGCTTGCTTTGTGGAACTAGTTGTTTGGGATGTCATCCGTCTTTTTCTTTTTGGTGCAAAAGGGCTGAGATGATTCTGAAGAGCTATAATGTCGTATCTTTAGAGTTTATGTTAACTCTTAATAGTCATGGCACCACATATTACGGATATAACACCGAATATGTGGGGCCCTTGTGCATTTAAGCAGTAGCTATGGTAAGATAATGATCATCATGTTTCTGTGATGGTTTGCCTATGCATTGTAATAATAAAAGTGATTTACACATAGAAAAGGTTGGAAAATTACTGAAAAAATGACCTCAATTTTGTTATGGATGACACATAACCTAGGGAGAGCTCATTTTGCACCTGTAATAAATGATATTAAGTAGGTGCATATCTTTTCGTCTGCCGGTAACATATTCTGCAATTTTGCTATTTTATTTTACTGCTGTAAGTGGAAGCCTCGCTGATACATTTTGACTGTGGTTCCTATTGTCTTTTATGATGCTGTCTTTGGAAAGTCTCCTAGAAAGAAAATTCCTGACATTTCTTTTCATTGTTACAACCTGCCTTGTTGTCAACTGCCACTTGTGATCCATGCTTGAGCCACTTAATCAGAGAAAAATATTGTGTGGCATTGTGTAATAGTGAACACAAGGTGCAAACTTTGTTGAATAAGTTAAAGTAAAAAAAAGGAAGAACTTTATGCAATTGTCATTAGGCAGCATGGTCCTCCACAAGAGTATTATTGTCCTCCAATTGTCCCTCAATAATAAGTCTCATCCCTGAAGTATTATTCTTAAATAAAAATATGTTTGTCAATCAAGTAGTTCTCGACCATTGTAAAAACTCTCTTAGTTTGAACGGTACTTTCTGTTTGATGCTGATATACGAGATCATTCTGCTGATTTACTATTTAAATAATTTAATTAGTTGCTTCCCATGTTGCAAAGGATATAATTAGTTACACTTGTCATTAATTATACTAGTGGTGCCACAATGTATGTTTTCCATTTTAGATTATATTAACCGTGTTTCAACTTTCGAACATGTGGGAGGACAATGTATTTGTTTGTTTTGAACGGAGGGATCATTATTTATCATATAGCTAAACCAATCAAGATATGCTAGTAAAGGAAAGGAAGTAGAAGAAAGGACCACCGACAAAGAGTCTTGTATAACTCTTGGTTTGGATAGTGAAAGATGCGAACCATATCAAAAAATTAGGTTGCCTTCATGCTTTGTTGCAGGTGCTTAGTGCTTGTATCTGTTCTTAGTTTTCATCAACAAGAGCCCTCTTTTGACCACTGTAGATCTTTCTTCAAACTGTTAATCGATTTTCCAACCCCGATAGGAGGCTGACCAGTTAAGATTTTTTAGCAGCCATCCATATCTCTATCAACTTGTTAGATCTCTCAACTCCTACCCAAAGAATGAACTCAAAACGCGTCTTCAATCAAGGAATAAATATCTAGTATTTGCTTGGAGATATTATTCGATGATTTATGTTCTTTCGTTCTATTTCATGCTTGTAGGTGTGCTATCACACTTACTGTGTCTCATTAGGAATTTTCATATTCTGGAGTTTTCATTTTAGAATATCATTGTTGTAGTGTTGTATTGTGATACCTGCATCTGAAAAGAGCAAACACTTTCTTGTTATGATCAAGAAACTCCTAGCAGATGCCAATAGCATGTTTACCTCATTTTTTTATATCAGTTTGTAAGTTCGATGTAAATTTTTAAGAAAGCTACTCTTTGCTTGTCAAAACTACATCTATGCAGTTTGCATCTATTTGTTTGTTATTTCCTGAAACCAGTGCCATGTGTGTTCTAGGTAGCATATGATAGTTCATTTGGAATTGCTCTTTGGTCATATTGACAAGGGGAATAAACTATCAAAAATTTTCAAGTAGGGGTACGATCTGCTTTTTTAACTTAATTATTGTGCGTAAGAAATTATGTTCGGCACTTTACAAATTGTTGGGAAGCTTCATGGGTTGGTGTTTTCCTACTTATTCCAGGACTTGTAACAGGTATTGTTTGATACTCATGTTATGCTCATTCCATATAGTAGGGTACCCTTTTTGAGCTGTTTCTTAGAAAATGAAATCATAGTTGAGCATTAACGACCCTTTTTTGCGTTTAACAATCTCAGATTAACAATGGAGTTGTGTAATTTTTTAGCTGTTAATTATAGTTTTCCTATGTCTGTACAAATAAATGCGGTTGTTTGAACAAATCCCCAACAAAGTAGTGGGCAGATCCCATAAATTTAATCTCGCACACAGAACACACAAAGATGCACTTTTACACTGGACAGCAGCCCTGTAAGGAGGAAGTGCTGCCCATCCTTTTAATTTTATATTACATCCATCTTAGTTTCTGAAACGATGACTGATTGCTATAATTGCAGGCTCCTGAATTACACTCAGAGCTCCATAAACAGGGCCTGAGTCAACAAGCCATGGGACCAGGGTCCGGAGGAGGTCCTTCAACTTCTTCAAGTGTCAGGGTATAAAGGATCTCTTTAAAGAACATATTCTTACCTTTGTTGCTATTGGCTGTGATACAATGGTTTTCATTAAGTTTTCATGAATATATTTGTGGGACAACCGAGGTTATAAAAACTAGGTTTCGTAGGCTGAAATAGGGTGAGGTAGGCTGGTGGTTGAAGCTTCCCCCATCCATGTATGGAATCGCAGTTTCATCCATGTGAGAAATGTGGTTTTCTACCTTTAGGGTGCATTTGGTATGTGGACATGACTGGATGAAACTGGATTGACGAGAGTGAGGTAGATGGTGAAAGAACTGTGAATGGTTTTAAGATTATAATTTGACATGGGTAGTTTAGCAATTTACCTATCACGTCCGATCTCCCCTTTTGTTCCACCTACAAATGTCCCACTCAGTATTTCCATTGTGGAGCCAAACGTGGGACAACCGGTTTTTAAACAGTCTTGTCCTGCGTACCAAATGTACCACATCAACATAATAGTTGGAAATTGTCGTTTGAAAGTATCTAATTGGGAATGTTGGCTGCAGGGTCCAAAGGCGCAAAAAAGCAGCGATCTGAAGTATGATATATTTGGATGGGTTATTCTTGCTGTTACTATCGTGGCGTGGGTTGGATTCGCAAAGGCAAATGTACCTTCACCACCTCCACGATAAGCCTGTGTTGGTGGGTTTAGAGGAGTGAAAATGATACTTGCAGTGGCAAGAGTAGCTAGGAGAAGTTGGATGTTATTAGATACTGATCTACACCAACCAACACATGAAGATTGATGGAAGAATATACAGCATGTAGTTTCTTTTTGTGAATTTGATTTGAGAAATTGCTTTTGATTATGGCAAATAGAATGGCTTTTCCATTCAGACTCCATTGTTTTGAAGCTAAATTATGTACAATCAATTGAAGTAGAAGTCAACCCTAGTGGGGTGTGGTCATTTAACTATATAATTTTATGTTTTTACTTGGAATTTAATTAAAATCTCGGAAAATTAATTAAAATAGACGTTTTAAATTCATCTTTTAACCCTTTCTCTGTCACTATTCGATTCATAGGGATCAAAAGGTGTTAGGATGGGTATAAATAGAACATACATTTGGGTAAATAATTTAGAAATATTGTATGTTATTGATAATGACATTAAAAAAGGGAATCAACATCATGTCGTATCCAATAGGAATCCCAAACTTTCCTCCCCATATTCAAATTTCTGATCAAACCATTTATAATAAAGATGCTTAGGATATGTTTTTATTTTATTTTATTGCATCCTTTAGATACATCCAAGAACTTATTAACAAAAAAAAAAGACGAATGATAGGAATAAAGGTGTTTGCATTACAGTTTGAACATTTCTTTGAACTGCAAACCACACAGTATATGCCTCAAACTGCACCCTGAATTAAGGTGGTGCAATATGAACAACAGTTTATTCTTGACACATTTTAATCCAATGATCAAATAATAATAACTTCAAAAACATGACCATAGTCCATACAATTAAAAGTTTCAATATGTAATTTCAAAATAGTCTAGAAAGCAATATCATACATTTTACAAGAAGTCTCAATATCATATATGATTGAATGTCTATATAATATATGTTTAATCATACATAATAAAGCTTGTATAATATATACATAACCAAAACTTGTCGTATTCTTATGAAATGTAATAATTTTTTTGTTTGAATTTGTAATAGTTTGGGTGAAAATATGTGAGGTTTATTTGATAGATTCTCCCGCAAGCTTCACCCTCAAAATTCAAATCACCCGCTTTCTCTCTCTATTCAATCCACTCCTTATAAAACCATCTTCACACTGCCTCCTCCTTCATATCCAATCCAATCCAATCCAAACCCTAATCATCCACCATGCCTTCCATCCCTGAAGACCCTCTTCTTGCTCCAAACCCTGATAGATTCTGTATGTTCCCAATTCACTACCCTCAGATTTGGGAAATGTACAAAAAGGCCGAAGCTTCCTTTTGGACGGCGGAGGAGGTCGATTTATCTCAAGATCAACGTCACTGGGACTCTTTAACCGACGACGAAAGGCACTTCATCACTCATGTTCTCGCCTTCTTCGCCGCTTCCGATGGAATCGTATTGGAAAACCTGGCCGGACGATTCATGAAAGAGGTGCAAGTTGCAGAGGCTCGTGCTTTCTATGGATTTCAAATCGCAATCGAGAACATTCACTCCGAGATGTATAGTTTGCTTCTCGAAACTTACATTAAAGACTCCAACGAGAAGAGCAGGCTATTTCGAGCAGTGGAAACGATTCCTTGTGTGGAGAAGAAAGCGAATTGGGCGCTCAGATGGATTGATGGATCGGAATCGTTTGCGGAACGTGTAATTGCCTTCGCTTGCGTCGAAGGGATTTTCTTTTCTGGAAGCTTCTGCGCTATTTTTTGGTTGAAGAAACGTGGTTTGATGCCTGGATTGACTTTCTCCAACGAATTGATTTCACGAGACGAAGGATTACACTGCGATTTCGCGTGTTTGCTTTACGATTTACTCAAGACCAAGGTGAGTGAGGAACGAGTTAAGGAAATCGTCTCTGACTCGGTGGTGATTGAGAGAGAGTTCGTCTGCGACGCGTTGCCGTGCGCTCTCGTGGGGATGAATGGCGATCTCATGAGTCAATACATCGAATTCGTTGCTGATAGGCTTTTGGTTTCATTGGGATGTGGAAAGTTATACAACGCCCAGAATCCATTCGATTGGATGGAGCTGATTTCGTTACAGGGGAAGACGAATTTCTTCGAGAAGAGGGTGGGGGAGTATCAGAAAGCTTCTGTGATGTCGAATTTGAATGGAAAAGGAGATGCTCATGTTTTCAAGATGGATGAAGATTTCTAGTTTCGTTTTCTAGGGTTCTTCATATGTAGATCTATCCACTTTCGGATATTTATCTTTTAGGGTTAGTTAAAATTATTACGATTCTCTGTTTGTGTTCGTTGAAAATTTGTTTCTTCTTCAACAAATGATATAAAAGCTTTAATTTTTTCTCTGTATTTTCAAATGGGTGTTCGTGTGAGAGTTAAAAAGAGCCAGAAATTGTGCAAGTACGTGATTAAAAAAGGTGGGTTCTTTTTTCTCTTTTCAAGATGAAATAAGAACCGGTCATGGGCCTATCAAAATCTTGATGAGTGCGTCAGAACGGCGTCGTTCTGTCTTTCTAAGTCATCCAATACTTTGAGGCGTGTGAAAAGGGGGTGTAGAATCTAAAATACCATCATCAGGATTCAGGATGCTATCAAGAGAGGAGTTGCTACATCTATTCGATCGATTCTCTGCTCTCATCTCTCAGCCTGGTATCAATTTCTAAACCCTAAAAGATTATCATTAGTTTTTTTGGCTAACAAATTTGGTTTCGATTTGTGATTTGTTCGAGTCTTTTCAGATGTCAAGAAACGTATTGCAGATGCTGTCAACGATAATCAGGTAGCTTTCTTGTTTATTCTGGATTTTTAGCTTCTTTTTTAGAGCTTTCTTGCTGGATTTAACTCCAAATTTCCAAGAAACCCATTGGTGGTTGTTCCACTAGATTTCCCCAAATATTTGTGATTAGTATTGTCAACTGAAAGATGATTCTGATAACTTCTGAGGTTTTGATACTTGTGTTTTATTTTTTGAAGCCACAATCTATATCATTACAGAAGTTATAATAAGATATGGAGTACAGCCTTTTAACACTGACTAATTATCATAAAACCACAAAATCTGAGATTTTGGTGCTTCGAGTTTACATAATGGTTAGTCCATCCTTAATGGACTTGATTGCTTTGCTTTCCTTTTTATATGTGGGCTTCTGATTTCTTACACTTCTGGTAGTGCAATTATATTACACATTATACGAGGTTTCTGGCTGTCTAATATGTTTTCTAACTGGTTTTCTGATGATCTTCTCTATGCAATGAGATCTTACTACACCAGGGGAATTGGTATTCAATCAAATCAGATAACCACATCCACATGAAAGTACCATCAGCAGCCATTCGGACATTCTCTAATGTGTTGCATATAATTATTCAAGATAGATGATGTATAATCTTTTTGTTCGAGCTCTCTCATAATGCTGCAACTATATAAGTATGAATCTTGGTATATCTGTAAGCATAAACTGACATGCAAACTTCATGCAAGTGGAATAAGCTTAAAGTCTACAACTTTTTACAGGCCCACTTGATAAGTGTTATTTTTTTTAATTAACCTGGATATCCAACCCGCTATGCGAGCTGACTAATCCCAGAGAGACCACATGCTCTGTAGTTATCCCGGAGTCGCCGCATTTGAACCTCCGTGGCCACAAGGGGATTTTTATTCATTCTTGGATTTGAACCTGGGACCTCTTGGTACTTTTGACCTTTGGAGCCAAGCTCAAACCAATCAGGCACCACCCTTGTGGTTGATAAGTGTCATTTTTATGGTAACCATGTGTGTGTCTGGGTTAGCTTGCCAGCACCTCGACTAATCCCATGGGTCCCTGAAGCCAATAGCCAGAGTAATCCCCCTTGGACCTGAGGAGATTCGGATTGGCAACCTTTGGGGAGGATCCCCAAGGCCTAGCCTTTATTTGCGTGTTGAGCTGGTGAAACAAGTCTCAACTAAATGATGTTTATCTTGAAATGCGGGTCTTGAAATTGTTAATGGTGCAATAGACATGTTTCTTGTGTTAAACATTGAATATCTGCCAACAAATACAGGAAGCTGTAGCTGTGACTACCACAATCCAGGAGGAAATACTTAAAGAGATGGGAGTTGGTAAGACATGTTTCTTTGATAGATTGTATAAGGTGACAGACATTTCCTTCTCTACATTTAAACTGTCTGAAAACCTATGAAAATGGTACATATATGTGGATCTTAATTGAGCTTTGACCATCTTGATTTGTCATGCTTTAAAAATGTAAGGTTCCAACTGGACATGTGATTGTGAGATTACATAGACCTTGGTTTTACTCTTTTTCACAGCATTCTTCAGTTTCTATTCAGATATAACATTACATCCACTCTGCATCACTATTTTATAGTTGGACACTTTCACGAAGATCTTGGTGTGTGTGTGTTACAGTGTTTGTATGCTTCTATATGTATATACATACGTTTTAGTGTTTCTACAGTAAAGTTATTGTGCTCCATCACTTGCTAACTTGGAATGTCAACATGGTGATTCTCTTATTCTTGGTTGTGCTTTAAATTGTTCTTTCCAGCATGTTGACATTGTGGATGTGATGAATGAAATTCTTCCCATGTCATTTCAGATCCAGCATATGGCCTTGCTTGCTTGGGGAAAATAAACATGGACTATGAAAATGATCAAGATTTGATGGTTTGCTTTTACAGCTTCGTAGCAAAGTAATCTCTCTCTCTCTCTCTCTCTCTCTCTCTCTCTATATATATATATATATATGTATGTGTGTGTGTGTATCACCTGCTTTTTTTTAGCATTTTATATATGTTTTGAGTTTGGATGACATGGTATTTCAGATTTTTCATCCCTAGTTGCTGAATTCTACACTCTTTTCCGTAACACCATTGAGTTAATAAACACTGTTAGAAACCACAAGGGTTGGATATCCAGGTTAATAAAAAAAAATGCTGTTAGACTTTGATTTTATATTCAAGTTAAGGGACTTGTTTTGTAAATACCCTTGGTATAAGTCGTTTAGTTTACTTGTTTTGTAATAGCTTTTGATCATATTTGTAAGTACTGTATCTTGAATTCTCTCTCAATATATCAATATACTTTGATGGCTACGTTTTGTTCTTAGATTTCTTATACAATCTTTGTTGTCATACTTGAATTTGGGATTAACAATCATGGTCAGAAGTTCTCTTGAAACGAAGGAAAATTCTTTAATCTAGACCCGAGAAGTTTACTACAAGTCATCGACTTCTCTTGTTGGATATAAACAAATCTTGCTACACCCCTTTTGGTTTGAATTACTAATAAATAAGATTAAGCCTATCCAATCGCAGTATCTTGGAACGTGTCTGTGTGTGTTTCTGAATCTGAACCCTCGTTTGTTTTTGTTTTTGGCCTGAAATGGTGGAAAAAAGATGTGAAATTTGTTGTATCTTGGATATGGGTAAATGGTTAATGGTTTAGTTGATGGAAATAACAGGGAAGAGATGGCATGTGAAGAAGCCGAGCTTGGGCCAGATGAATATTGTGAGAGATTGGAAATGCAACACAAGTTACAACAACAGGTAAAAGTAACTTCAAACTTTGCTGCTGCTTTTTTTTTTTATGTTTTTTTTTGGTTGTTTGCTTCCATTTGAATTTGGGTTTTAAATGCAGCAACTGGAGATGTTGAAAGAGATGCGTAATTATGGTGTCGATGATCAGTCTGCTATCTTAGACATGGTTACTTTCTTTCCATTCTTCCATCCTCAATTCTTCTCGGAATGAATCAATCTTGTTTGATTAGTTTCACGTATCTTAATTTCTCTTCGAGAATGCATTTGATTTTCCGCGTTTGTGTTATATTGGTTGCAGCTGCGACAGCAGATGGAGAAAGAAGATTTTGAAAGCGAATCGTCATTGTTGGCGGTGGACCGAATCCAAGACATTGTTCAAAATAGAGTGTAGTAGAGGGTTGTGGTTGTGAAGAGACCTTAATGGAAATATTATTATGTAAAAACCCTTTTCTTTGGAATTAAACAAGTATCAAAATGTTTGGATGTTGATTCTTTTTTAATTATTGGAATGGGATTGATGCTGATTATGTTTCTTATTTTTATTTGTCCTCCTAATCACATGTGAATGCCCGTGTAATGGCTTCAAGTTTTAGGATTTTAGAAGAAAGAATGCACAACAAGTCGAGATGGCCGAGTTGGTCTAAGGCGCCAGATTAAGGTTCTGGTCCGAAAGGGCGTGGGTTCAAATCCCACTCTCGACAAAGCATATTTTCTACTTTTTCAGAATGGCAATTTATGTTTTTTGTCCCTGTAGTTTGTTAAAAGTTGCAAATCTCGTCCCTATGGTTTCGAAATTGAGGTTTTCATCACAGTTTTGAAATGGACGAGTCCAGGACTTCTTCAGACCTGCGTGCATCTCTTCTCTTCTACTGTTAGTGTTATGTACATGTTCAATTAATTTAGTTTTAGGTTTATGAACATTTTCATGTTGAATTTGATTTGATTTGATTAAGGTTATATATATATATATATATATATATATATATATAAGGTATTGCTTATGAGGAAGTAAATTTGAAGATAATATATTCGTAATGATATATTTAGTAAATTTTGGAAGGCTATATATAACTTTATATTCAGATACTTTCTTTTAAGATGTAAATATATACAAAATTCAAATTGTAATACGTTCATAACTATATTCGTATTCAACCCATGCATGCATATATTCTTATTCTTTTAATTTGGCTCATAATAACATTTCTTTTTTTCCTTTCAAATTACTTTTTATTATTATATTGTTGTTAAAAAAATAAAGTTGGATCCTTTATTCTTGAAAGAAAAGCAAACAAATCCCAAAATTAATTGAAGCATAGAAACTCATAATTATTTGTAAGAAAATAACAAAATTAATTAATTGGTTCATTATTAATTATGGACGTGTTGTTTGAACAATTTTTCCTTAAAAACATTAAATGCATGAATTTAAAACCGAAACAATTAATACGTAATGATACAAACCAATACTTGTCTAGAATTTGGATGAAGTCATGTAACGAATACAAATATAATTATTTATAATTGTTAGATAAACACAAACGTTTTGCAATCCCTATCTACCTCTTTCACATTCTAATTTGACATATATATATATATATATATATGCCTGAAAATGAAATTGTAACAACCCCCTCCCCCCTCTCTACCTCTTTTCTTTTCTTAAAAACTACTATTAAATTATTTTATATATATATATTCTCCTTAAATTATTATTCAATATAATGAGATAAGGTATAAAGTAATATATTTGGCACTAGTTGTTGTTTTAATAGCGTGTTATATACGACTTTTAACACTATTAGCATTTCATAGATCATCACGTCACTCTTGCTGATAGGGTTATTCTATCTCCACCCCCTCCTATACTCTTCCCCTTACATTTTCTATACCCCTCCTATATCAAATATTAGAATATACAAAATTCAGTTTATTTTATTTTTCAATTTTAACCCTTTGATATTTTCAATTTTAA